TTTGTATGGTAGGCAAATCCTCACAGTTTACGCCGAGCATCTCTAAATCACCATCTTCACATTAGTAACGAATTATATTTGATTGACTTTTTTCGTCAAAATAATTAAATTCTTATACAGACTCTCAATCTAGGTTGTGTTATTTGATATAAATACAGTAACTGTCGGGAATTAATGAGCCTGTAAAGAAATGTGTATTTGTGTTTGCATGTGTCAGTATGTGTGTGTTTAGCATATATGGTAGCCCACTTGTGAAAATTGTTTCTCTTGAAATGTGTGGGACTGCTTAGAAAGTCCATATCACAGTCATGTCTTCACCCTCAGCTTCCTCTTTTAGAGTTCCTCTTTCAAGATGTCGATCCTATCAGTAAATGACCTCATAGCAGACTTGTAAAAATGAAGACCACAAATCAGACTTTATGTAGCAACCATCCATCTGCAATGTTGAAATGATGTATGTTAAGGATGTTCTAAAGGAGCTGTCACATTATTAAAGCAATGCAAATAGATAACAACGTAAACCCTCACGTAACTGTAGAAACACAGGGCTATTAAAAGTTCAACAGAAAGCCCTTCATCTTTAACCCATATTCACAAAAACACAGCTTCATTACTTCATCTCATCTAATCTAAAGCATATTTGTTATACATAATATGACAAAGACAAAGATACATGGAAAAGGCGGATGACAGGTTTATACTTCAGCATCAGTGAGTTAAAGCACGAGGTACACGGTGTACTAGAATTAGAGTCTGAGTCTTATCTGGCCTCCTACATCATATCAGCTTGGCTTAAAAACATCGGGCCTCAGCTTCAGCGTACACCTTAGCAGCTCTCCTTGAACAGGAAGCCGGAGGGAAATGTTGAGAGGAAGTGGGCTGTGACGCTTGGTGTGCTGCTGCTTCTGGTCTATTGTTTTGTCTCTGTGTAAGTTCCACGGTGACTTATGTGTTTCAACAACACCTGAAGCGAGGTTTATCTATAGAAAGCTGTTTAAGACTCAGACAGTAGCAGTGTTGCTGGATTCTTGATCGTCTTCAACTTTTACGTCCGTAGACACAAATCATCAACCTCTGTTTAGAGGCTTTTTCATAGAGATACTATTCTAGCTGATTATATTCTACTTATATAAGGCGAATTTAAGGCGGTTGCTTAACAAGAATACATTAGGTTCATAAAGTTCATAAAAACACCCACGCAGTTCTCAGTGCAGCTTTAAGTGGGAGCACCTGTGTAGGACTTTAAGCCTGTGACATCATCTTCTTACCTGATGCATGTATTCACAAGCCGTTTCCTTAAACCTCCAAACAATGGTTTAAACTTAAACAGTATCATGAGTACAAAACAACAGCAACACTGGGTCTTAAAGCCTCACTTTTACAAACAATGTGATATTGTTTTTGTTACTGTCACAGTTCAAAATGTTATATGTGAAGAAAAACTGCAGCTAAGAATTAACCCTATAGAAAATAGTTAAAGATGACATGTTCAGCAGAGAGATGTCAGAGATGAATTCAAGATCATGTCATTTAATTTAATATCCTGTTCAGCAAAACATGATGCAGAGAACAAATCATTTAAATTGAAATATGACTTACACATTTCACATTTGTGTACTGTGTAGAATATGACATCTTGCACTGAAAATCATTTTGTTTACATCGAGGTGTAGAGAGTAAATGGGCTTTAAGAGATTCCATGTTGTTAGATAAACTTTGTTGCGTTAAAAAACATTTCATCCAAAATCTTTAATTTTGTGTTTTTGGTCTAGAAATGTGAAAAGATGTTCATCTTTAAGTGGAAGTTCAGCTACACTTAGGGAGAGCCTGGTGTTTAGTTTGTCATGTTTCTTCGCTGATTGTGGCTAATCAGCTAAAATGTCAGACATCAACAAAAATGATTAATTACCAGAATACTGTAGTAAAACAAACAGATTCAGCCCACCAGATTCCATTAACACACTTCAATGTTTGACTCTTAATCTGTATGCAGGGATGCAGAGCCTGTGGAGGATGAGAAACCCGACAGAGAGGAGGGGGCCGAGGAGCAGGTGGAGGAAGAGGAGGATACACCGATGCAGAGTGAAGAGGGGGAGTCACCTTTTGTTTACATCTATGAGGAAGGTTCCGGAGGTTATGAGGGCTCTGCGGCTGAAGATACATTCATGGCAGACAAGGCCATTGAGACGGGCTCTGGTGCGTCCTCAACAGAGAAATACTTTGAGCTTCAGAAAGGTAATTTGGTTGAAAACGTTCTTGATATAGTGTTCCGTGTCCTTGTTTTTCTGCTCCATGATCTCTGAGCTGTCGTGTTTCTCTGTTTGAAGATGGGGAATCGAGGAGCATGAGGCGCTTGTTCCCGAGCAGGGCTTTTGTTGGTGAAGCAAAACCAGAAGAGCAGGAGCTGAGAGAAGACCACCTGCTGCAGCTGTAGACTGATCACACAGAATCAGACTCACACACATACACAAGGCTAGCATCTATTGTATTTTCACCCTGTCTATTGAATATTGCAGCAAAAATCTTGACAAAAGCCAAATGTATACAAATATATATTTTGTATTAACACTGATGGAAATTATATTTTTGCATCAAAAGAACTTTTATAAAGGATGAAAAGTGTCTGCCAAAGTGAATAACTGTCTGCAATGAAGAGGCAGATACTGTCTGAAAACATTTCAGTCCTGATGACAGTGACCTTCTTTTTGTGAAAAAAACCCCACAAAAAACAATACTTTTTAATATAAATTCAAAACATGCCTTGAAATATTTGTGATACCAGTGCAATAAGATGACCTGTTTTTAAAGTTGTAAGGCATGTGTTCCTTTAAGACGCACAAAAACAAAAACATATTTATGTAATTTGATCCCTTTGTCTCAAATGTTTTTATACTTTTCACTAACCAAGTATGATTATGCCACCTTTTTAAGGAACTTCAGATCTGCAATGTTGAACGAGAGAATCTTGCAAACTCAAATCCCTCGAGAATTTTATTCATGCAATCTTAACCACTGTGAACTGAAACATGTTCAAAATATGTTTTCTACACATTTACCTAATTCAACATGCGCTCTGTTGTTTAATTTGCATTTGAGATACTTCAATAAATAAAGGATTGATAACAACAGTGTGCTATAAGGTTTTCAAACTGTTCTTTTATTTGTTCAGATTGTTTCTTTGTATGCTTTGTTGCAATTTACACCGATAAAAAGAGTTTTTGTCAACATCAATTTAAACCTTAATGAGTTGATAAATCTTCTTCTCTCATACAAAGAAAGTATGTTAATGCAGTACAAATAACAAAACACCTGTCAGTACATTTTTGCTATTGCTTAGGGCATTAAAGACAATAACAGCACAAAGCCAATACAATAAAAGCATCTTCCCTATTGTGTAAACTCCTAATAATAACAATAAAACAAAAATAAATACCCTAAACTGTTGGAACAACTATAAGTTCAATAAAGTCAGAGGAATGATAAGGCCCATATCTGATCAACATTACCTTCCACATAGGCCTGTTTTATATTTTGTTATGTTGGCCAGTGAGTCGATAAGTTTCAAAACATTGCAGTAGTAAGTTTGTCCACCAGGTGGTGCTGATTCGTCAGTCAGTTATTTATAACAAACTGTACACTGTCTCTGTGAAAAATGTTTATGTTAAGTGATTATGTTGAAAAGAAAATAATATGCTTACACCAACATTATTTCATCATGTATTTTATTCTTAGTCAAGATCCCGTCATAGCTGCATTGGAAGTTTCAAGCAGTACCAGTTGAATAATGTATTTATTTTTTGTATATAGTCAAAAAATGTTATACACGTACAACAAATACAAGTAATGAAGGAAATGGTGAAGGAAGAGAGAATACACAGACCACAGAAAAAGAACTCCACCTCAAGACAAGGATTGAGTAAAACAGAAACTTGTTTCATGGGTAATTTGTAAAAGACCATCCAATGTCTTCATCCATTGGAGTTCTCAAGTGGTAATACAATTAAGAAGCTTATTCCATGCCTAAAGTGCAAAAACAGTACAATGCTGTATTAGGAAACGTCGACCTCACCATGGGGACAAGTCTTGGGTTATGGAAGTTGACCTTGCATTACGTGGCAATAAAAGGCAACATGTGCTCTAAAGAGAGGACCAGAAACTAATATTACTGTAAATCGTCCATTAAAAGGCCGTTCAAAATTAAGGCTCAGTCCCTTTTACTATAGCATGGTGATGTTATTGCACATTTTGACAAATGAAGGCAGGTCTCAATGATAGACCCCTACTCATTTAGTGTTGAAATAGTCTGCGTATCAAAAATAAGAAGAAAAAGCAGCAAGACACACTATCAGCTTGATGGCTGTAGAGATGGAAATAATTGTTAAAACCATGACAACAAAGTTTTTCTTTTCTCAAGCCACATGTTCATGTTATAACATGAGCTTTTAGCAGCTAAAGACACAGCTCCATAACCCAACACAGCCCTCATTAGTGAAATGATTAATTATTTGTAGTGTAATTTGTTCATGTAGACCCTAATTTTTATGCACAATTAATATCACATCTGATGTAAATCTAATTATTTTAGTCTTTACTTTGAAAATATTGAATGTTCAGTCTTTGATTGACACCTGTCTTAAAAGAGGCAGGGTAATGTCATAGACTGAAGTAAAAACCTATACGTTTTTTACGGTAGTAGGAATTAGATTAATTAAGGTTCCTAAATTAGAGTAAAGTTTCCAAAATAGGTTATGGTCCAAAACTGGGCTAGTGATGCTCAAGAGCGCCATCACATGGATCAGCATTGTAAACAACATTATATTCAGTACTGAAAGAGAGAAAACATTAAAGTGTAAATGTTGGCAGAGTGTGCGTGTGTGTGTGTGTGTGTGTGTGTGTGTGTGTGTGTGTGTGTGTGTGTGTGTGTGTGTGTGTGTGTGTGTGTGTGTGTGCGCTTTATGCAACAGAGATAAAAGTCAGCGCCCTGCCCACACACACTGCGCCACGTGACCCGGGTCACATGACGGGGAGTCTCGATACTACCTCTTCAGTCAGACAGGCTACACGGAGCGAGGCTAGCTGTTAGCTTCAACTGTCTACACAGCAGACATGGTGAGTCAAACAACATGCTTCACTTGTCCGGACTACTTTGAGATAAACTACTGTCCTGGTGTGTGTGTGTGTGTGTGTGACCCCTGACATCAACACGTGTTTGATTTGACAGCTGCGGTTCAACATGAAAGTTTTGACAGGAAAGCTAGCTGTGTTAGCTTCAGTACGAGGCCGTCTCTTCGGCTCCTCTCGCTCATGTTTTGCTAACAGCAGAACATTTGTGTGAATGATGATAGCAGCTCCAAGTGCTCACTAAGTTTTAGAGCTTCATTAATGTAGTTTATGTTTTCAGTATCTGGAGGGAGGCCAAAGAGAGAGAAGAAGTTGTACCGTGTGTCACATCATGCACGTCGGATAACATCACTTACTTCAAGCTTTAGCTCACTACTAAATTACATTAACAACAATTTGGTAATCACTAACTTTAATGTTTTGTTGCTTGGATTATCATGACATTTCTGTTTGATACTAGTTTTAATAGCCTACATGCATCCTAATGATATCATTTAACAAAACGCGTCCTTTATAATCAAATAGTTATTAGTTCCTGCAGACATTTTAATGATTGAAGCAGATTTATCTTTGCAGCATGCTGAAGCATGTGTTGTGTGTTTATGCCAGCTAAGAGGGAAAATATGCGTTTGTGCAGCTGGTGACAAGTTATGTAAAAAAAAAACAAGGGCTGCCTTTCTGTTCTGAGCTTTACATGGTAAATACAAGAGACTTGTTCCATGCACACCCATCTGTCACCTTTATTTGTGCACACACTTATATTCAAATAGATGTTAACCTTGGCCAGCCTCGTGGTGTTTGTAATCTTTGCAGACAGCTAACATGGGCACTCAGTCATCATACATGTGTGTTAAGAAACTCCTCAGATGGACACTTTTTAAGTTTCCATTAAACTCAGTTTAAAACTTGTTCTTCTGTGAGCTTTAAGTCTTACTGTTGAACAACGAAGATGTCTTGTATTTTGTTGCGTGGAGCATTTTAAAATTTTCAGCTGTGTATATTCTTTATATTGATATTGTGTTTTTGTCTCACACTTTTTAGCTTCACTCTTACATTCCCTCAAATAACTACTGTGAACATACTGCTGAATTATTGGTAAAGACTCAATAATGTGTTTTTCAACTTATTCTGGGCCACTTTACTTACAATTTATAACCTCATACCGTGTTAAATAAAGTATACGTAAAAATTTGATATGCAATTCATTCCTACAGTTATCATCCATTGTCACCATGATGCTGCTACTTCGAGTTTAATATGATGTGAAGCTTCCCAACTCGACAGTTCGTACTGTCTTGTTGTTTAAGTAGTAGTCAAAAAGGGTTTCCGGTCTGACGACTAATTTTTCACAACCACCATCATGACTGCAGGGTTGTTTAGTAAGCTGCTGTTTTTAATGATGTGCTTTGTGTTTTGCAGAGTTTCCTAGGGGGTTTGTTTGGGCCGGTTTGTGAGATAGACGTTCTGTTGAACGATGCAGAGAACAGAAAGACCGCCGAGCTAAAGACAGAAGATGGGAAAGTGGAGAAACACTATCTGTTCTATGATGGAGAGTCTGTCTCTGGCAAGGTAAGCCAAGTTTTCATGAATTATAAAGTGGTGAGGAGAGCTTCACAAGGTTCATTAAGGGGACACTACACACACGGGTCATGATTTAGATTAGGTGTCATTTAATGTTTAAGATAAATGTGCTCAGTCAGCATATATTGGACTTCTCTGCAGTCTATTAAGGGATCCTCTCTTTCACTGAGCCCAGTGGGAAATAAAGGTTCTTTTCAAGTCTGTGCAAGATTTGCTCTGACTTCAGGACAAAGTCAACCATCTATGATTCAGATCCCTCAAATTTGTCAGCTGAAATATCAGCTATATTTAAGTACTGGAGTCTACCCACCACACAGTTTCTCTTGGATGTTTTTGTCCTTGCGTGTTCCCCTTGTACAGTTTGAAAATAGGTTTCTAGGCTTCATAAGACTTTAAGCTGTTAGCGCCGACACTCAACTAAAATGTATACAAATGCACTACCAGCAGATGTGATTGTGCATGACAGGGACAGTTCTTCTATTTCTATTTCTAGTTTTTCTCTTTCATGTAGCATATACTCACAAACAGGCCTTTGGTTCATTTGTTTGAATGATCTGATCAAGTTCTGGCTCTCCAGGTAAATCTGAATGTGAAGCAGGGAGGAAAGCGTCTGGAGCATCAGGGCATTCGCATCGAGTTTGTTGGACAGATAGGTGAGCGTGATTCATGTCTCTGTTATGATCTGTTTGCATTGTCCCGGCTTTTGCAATGGCTAATGCTTTGTTCCTTCTCAGTGCAATGAACTTTCTTGTTGCTTTGACATAATTACAATGTTACTTATTCATATTGCTGTTTCACAATTGAAACCTCTAGATTGCCTTTCACAACATTAATTGCAAAAGGTGCTTTGCTCGTTGAAGCTGGAAAACTGCTTGTCAACAATTGACTGCTCGCTTTCTCATGTGGCTAAAGGGTTTAACGGAGCATGTGGTCATCATGTGCAGCCTGCTGTAGTGGAGCTAAACCCTCCTCCCACTGAATTTGTAGAAGGAGTAGGGTAACGAGGCCAGTGTGTTGAAAGAATATGAAATCTGGAAATTAAGCCTGTACTGTATTAAACTTGTTATAGTGTGACTTAGAGCTGCAGATATTCCTCTATAATCCCATTCAAATTTGAATGCTTTATCATTTTTAAAATTCAAATATAATAAAAAAATTGAATGCTAAAATTGAGTAGGCTTTTATTTATCCTATACGATAACATAAAGCAATTTCACTGCATAAGCACATACTGCATGTCATTTTCTTTATCAGGAAGCTTTGGCACAGACTAACGTTCACTTGGATGTATGCATTGCACATTGTAATTTGAATATGGCCCAAACAGAGCGACGCAGCACGACGCAATGTTTCTATTTTCCCTCTCTGTCACTCGGAGGGTGGGGTGGGGGGTGGGGGGGCTCTATGACTACAAGGCTCTGACACTCGCTTTTATCACTCAGCACAGCTTGTTGTACAAAGTGGAGATAACGATGTAATAATCATATCCAAATCCGTGATTAAAATGTTGAGCTTTGACTTGTGTCAACAACACCGGAGAAAACGTTTTTTTTTTTCGGCTCACCGTGAGCCTCTGTGTGTTGTGCCGCTCCTCAATACAAAACACATCCACGTGTCCAACTTTAATACAAAGCACTAGATGTCATTCTGTTTGCAAGGGGAAACTCAAATTCACAGAGCAAAGATTGAAATATTTAAAGGAAGCAGTGAGGACAGCCAGCCGCCTCAAGACACGACATGAAACGCTCGCGGGCTGTAGTTAAAGGGGTAGTGACCTAATTCAAGATAGGGTGTTTGTAGTAAAATACATCTAGGCTGACTGCTTTATTAAAACTGTTTAAGGAACGTTTAACATCCTCACCTGCATTGATTCACTTGTTATCCAAAACATTTAAACCAATTATTTATTTATAACAAAATTCAGCTTTCAAATATTGTTGTTGTTTTTATTTTTGAATATAATTCGATTTTCAAATTTTGTTCCTGTAGCCCTAGTGTGACTCAACTCTTTAGATTTATAAACCATACAGTCCACTAAGAAGTGTAAGTTGACCTTGCTGTCTGCTGCCTGTTGTTTCAGAGCTGTTCTCTGATAAGAGCAACACACACGAGTTTGTGGACTTGGTGAAAGAGTTGGCTCTGCCTGGAGAACTCGCCCAGAACAGGAGCTACGACTTTGAGTTCATGCAGGTGGAGAAGCCCTATGAATCCTACACTGGAGCCAACGTCAGGCTAAGGTATATTTATAAAAAGGTCTCAAAGAAGTCAAACTGTTGGGGAGTGGGGGTTCTTGACCCGTATTTTGATGGCCTTCTTCTTTGGCAACAGAGAACAGCAGGGCAGCTTTTCTCTCACTTGTCTTGAACTGTTAACTCACAAAATGCACAGAATAGTTGATCAGTTGTTTTTGTTATCAACAAGTTGAAAATATCCGATTTTGCTGCCTACAGATGAAATAGTTTGATGGTAAAGACTTAACTTTCTCTGCATTATGTGATCTACAGATATGATTTGACTTCTGAAAATTCTTTCTTTGCTTTTTTAATTTTATGATCATCAAAGTTTGGTTTATTTATATTTTGGTTAATCACATATTTTGAATAATAGATCTTCGAGGCAGCCTAACTCTGACTAAAGTGAGAATGAAAGGTAGATAGGTACTTTACTGTCATTGTATAAAAGAACACAACGAAACTTTGTCAGCAGCAATCCTGTAGAACAGCATTAGCTGTGTGAGAGTTGCACTGAGCAGTAATAACATAATGAAGTATATTGTGGCTTCTTGAGTTAGGTATGACACAGCTTCTGACACATTTTTGAGTTATTTCTCCTGCATATTTCCTATTGCTAGTCATATTTTGATGCAGAGGTGAAACGTGTTTTAATAACAGCGTGTTCAGCAACGTTTCAGCTTGTGTTGTGTCTGTGTTGTCCTTCTTGTAGGTATTTCCTCAGGGTGACAATAGTTCGTCGTCTGTCTGATCTTGTGAAGGAATATGAGTTGATCGTCCACCAGTTAGCCACCTACCCAGACGTCAACAACTCGATCAAGATGGAGGTTGGCATAGAAGACTGTCTGCACATTGAGTTTGAATACAATAAATCAAAGTAAGATCAATTTCACTCCGTTTGTTTTGATGTCTGGACCTACAAATCAGAAATCGCCCTGCCCTTTGAGATATCATAAAGCAGTGGGTTCCTCTTGATGTGTTTCTTTATTAGATATCACCTGAAAGACGTGATCGTTGGGAAGATCTACTTCCTGCTGGTCAGGATCAAGATCCAACACATGGAGCTGCAGCTCATCAAGAAGGAGATAACAGGAATAGGTACTAATCCTGGGTAGTAAAAAATGAAACTAACTAAATGGAAACCCACCAATCTGTGCTAACTCTGTCTTTCATCATCTTTTAGCTTTGTCCAACTTTAAAATGCTGAACGGCTGTTGGTTTTCTCCTCTGTGTGGTGTTTGGGTCCCAAAAGGAGCCTGTCAGCTCTGCTCCACTTCATTGTATCATGTCTCACGTAATGCAACGGTTGTCCTCGTTTTCAGGTCCCAGTACTACTACAGAAACAGAGACGGTTGCAAAGTACGAGATCATGGATGGTGCTCCAGTTAAAGGAGAGTCGATCCCCATCAGACTGTTTCTGGCAGGTAATTCATCTTCTTAATTGATCTTTCTCTTCTGTTCTCTGAAAAACATTTTGTAATTAGGACTTTAATTTACTCTCTTAATTTTATAACAGCTGAGTTCACATTAGGCGTTGTCGATTGTGTGTAACAACGTTTCTATCGTTAAAGCCTTTAAACATATTTTGCCTAACTGTTGCACTGACTGCATACTAATGCTCTGTTTCTTAACAGGATATGACTTAACACCCACCATGAGGGACGTCAACAAGAAGTTTTCTGTACGTTACTTTCTTAATCTGGTGCTGGTGGATGAAGAGGACAGAAGATACTTCAAACAACAGGTAACACCTGCATCTATTCCACAGCTAAAGTAATGTGCATCAGTGAGTGCTACTGTTTCTCCAGCACACAGAGACACTCATGGGAAATTAGAATCATCAGGTTGTGTCTGTTTATTTATATTTTTGTGTGTGAAATGACACACGACACAGCTGCACATTGAATGTCTAGTTTGTTTGATTCTATATCAAGCAACATCACAACTGTGTTTCATTATTGATTTTAAACATTATAATATTGGTACCACTAACAAAATGAATGTTAGTGACGCCACAACTCAAGTGCTCATATACAATCATGTCTTCTTTTTTTATTTCTGAAGTGATCTATTCCTTTCTCTCTCTCTCTGTGTGTGTTTAGGAGATTGTTTTGTGGAGAAAAGCTCCAGAGAAGCTGAGGAAAAGAAACTTCCATCAGCGCTACGAGTCCCCTGAGCCCCGACCCCAGCCAGTGACCGCAGAGCAGCCCGAGATGTGAAGGCAAAGCAATGACTGAAACTGAACACAGAAACACCGCAACTCTTCACTGCTGAACAGCCAGATGTGTGAGGGCCGCTCCACTCTCTCCCTGGACTGAGAACTGTCTGTAAACATGAACACACATAACATACCTTTAGAACACCCCCCACCCCCCACTGCTTCACAGCTTCTGATTTGAGCTGTCCGACCACCGTCGCGCTGCCCTACAAGACTCAAACACACTTGCATACAAATGCACAAGAATGCAATCCAAGGCGGCTGAATGCTAAAAGTCAAGGCAAATGTAACCCTGGTGTCTCAGACTGAAAACACACACGTGCACACACACACACACACACACACACGTACAAGTGGAGCCAAACAGTCCCCTACTGCTGCAGTTTTCTGAACATAACATAAAACAGGAGCAAAAGAAGAAACAAGTAGACTGTTACAGACAGCCACCACACCCAGTATCCCGATCACCTGCAACAGGAGTTTATTTTGTTGCATATTTGGACAGATGTTTACAGGAGTTCCTCTGGCATCCTCCCTCACACAAATGTTACAAAAAGATCTCCCTGGAGTCAACCAACGATTGCAAATATTCAAGACGTGGGGAACAACCTGCAGGACACTTAGCTATGAGTCAACACATGCACTCTGTGTTTATTCACAAACCCTGTGTTTAAGCCATGATGCTACACGCTGCTCTTTCCACCCAAATATCTGCTTAATGGTTCAGTGCAGCTGAAGTCCGTCTGTCCATTAATCCCAAATTTCATCTTCTCTTTTGTTGGTCTCATTTCATACAAGTAATGGGTTTGAGTCATGATGGGCACAATCGTTTCAATGTTACTCTATTTAGATCTTATTTAAATATATAAAAATCCTTAAGCGCTGCAGCTTATTGTTCTTTCAGTTATTTTGATGCATATTAATTGATTTAAGGTTTAGTCTTTATATCATGTCCAGAAAAGTGAATGGCTCCTTCACAATTTTCCAGAAACTCAGAGAACATCTGGGTTTTATCTGTTTTCTCTGGAAGTCAACATGAAACAACAAAACATATTCAAAAGGAGAGAAATGAAAACTAATGTTTGAGGATGTAAGAAAATGAAAATGTTTCCTTTTTAAAAACGACTGAAGCTAATGTTCAATCAGCAGCAAACCACCCACTAATAGTTGCAGCTCTTCAAGTAAACATGCCACGAGTTAGATAGTCAAGATGAATATTTATGCAGTCTTCACTGGTGATGTCTGTTACCTAACTATATGTCTGCCTTGTAAGGTTTCTAAGGGTCCCCTTGAATTCAAGGTGTTTCTAGGGCTTTGAGCATTTGGTTTGATCCTTTATGTATAAACCCTGAAAAAAAAAAACCTCAGTGATTTTTGCCCTCCAGAGTTATTGTAAGGGTATTAAATCCAAATGTGGAGAAAGTATAAAGTAAGACAAGATCAGAGCTGGGCCACCACATGGAACTCCATTGAATTGTGGCAGAAGAAGAAATATACAAGGAAACGAGAGAGATCTTAAAACTTGTATTTTGTTGAGTCTGTGTTGCTAAAATGTATTTATTTGAAGTTGGGCTGAACTGAACCTTTGAATTCACGGCTCATCTTACTGCAGTTTATGTAAAAAAAAAAAAAATGTCTTCAGATTCTCAAATTCAAAGCATGAAAAGCTAGAACTGATGTTCAACAGCGACTTACACATGGTTTCTATTAGCATTTTAAATTAAAACCATGTGTAAGTAGCTGAAATGATGCTAAGCTAGCAGTGATGAGCAAACTGTTCTTGTTGCCTCACTCCCTCTTTTAAGCTAGCAGCAGCAGTTTCCCTTTTTCTGAACACTATTTTTTTTCTTCTAAAATGGTCATGTTGGATCTTGTGCGCACCGGAAGAGATGCAGAATCAAACACTAAGTTCAACATTGTTCCACTGTGATGCTAAGACCGGCTGTTTAGGTCCTGCTAAGAAGAAACATACACACACACATATACACACACACACACATACACAGCGTTTGGTGATTTTACTTGACTTGTGTGTAGGTTGATTTTGCTCTTAAGTTCTGATTTGTGGCCGGCTTTGCACTTTCTCTTCTGATTCTTCACTTTGTTTAAAGTGCTCATGTAAGCTGCAGCTGAACATCACTCAAGGACAACCACACCTCAGAGATCTCCTGTGTCTGTAGCACAGAGAACAATACTGTCATTTCTACATCACTACCACTTTTATTGACAACATCTTTTTTTCTCTCACGTTTGAAAGTTGTGCTGTCACGTTGCATGTTTCATAACATGAACCTCTGGTCACTTTAACTGTTACAGCTTCTGTTGTTGACCCTGCACTCTGGTCTTTTGTTTAGAAATGGTGTTATTTATTATCAAGTCATGGTTCCTCTACTCCTGCTGTCAAACACTTCCTGTCATTCTGAGCACTACATGAAGGGTTTGTTGTGTTTTTAATGCCGTCATATGGTTATGAAGAAACTCAAATGTTACATCTGTCTGTCCCTCTCTCATCGTCTGCATGTTAATCTTTACACAATGTCTAATCATACATCAATCTGTGTGTGTGTGTGCGTGTGTGCGGTTGTATGATATGATGTGAATTTTCACCAGACCCAAATATATAGCTAAGATGAATCATGAATAAAGCAAATTTATACTGAATTAGTTTTAAAGAACTATTTATTTGAAAGATTATTGTACCACAAATGAAAAGGAGATATTAGCTCAGTTATTTGTTTATAGAGGTAAACCCCAGCGTGTGTTTTTAAAAAATGAATCATTGGTATCCAACTTGACTTCCAAGTGGAAAGTAACCCTCAGCTCTCAGGAGATCCAGAGCAGTGGCCAATTAATTTATATATTATTGTTACAATTCATTTAGAAGACGCTGTAATCCAAAGCGAAGTACATCAGAGAGTAAGTACAACACTAATCCATTCATACACCACCACCGAAGCAGTGGGAGCAATGCAGGGTTAAGTGTTTGCCCAAGGACACATCGGACATGTTGCTCAGCTGGGGATCGAACCCTCGACCTTCTGGTTGAGAGGTGACGACTCTACCAACTGAGTATATATATATTATATATATTATATATTATATATCTATGAATTCATCAGGTTTGCCCAGGCTTTTTGTAAGAAGAGCACCTTCCAAAAGTGAACAAGATATAATAGAATCTTAAACTTGAACAGTTGCACATTGTTATATTTCAATTTGATATCTGTATTAATTTTTGATAGTTCTTTTCCACCACTTCAGTCACCTGTAAAAGAAATAACACTTTGATTTTCAATTAAGAATTAAAATGTATTTTACTCCGAATAATAATGATAATAATAATATGTTTAACGTGCTGTTTAAGTACTCAAAGACACTGTACATTAGTTAAACAAATCTTTGGGGGGTGGAAAGCTCTCGAATAGCATTTAAACATCACATGTTTGTGTGATATTGTTTACAGCATGAGACAAACTAAATGGAAAGTATAGCTTTTTAGATAAATAAATCTGATTTAAAAAAGGAGTTGGTACACTTTATCGCCTACATTTCTCAATCCAGTTAAAAATCTTTGCTGAAGAGTGACTTTGTTTGAATGTGAGGCACAGTCAATGGACCACACAGACTGTAAATATTACGACCATACAGGACCTCAATATTTACGGTCTATGCACGGACCCAAAGATCGTCTATACTTATTGTGCTTTAGGAATAAACTGGAACATACTTTATAGACGGAGGGGACATCTTCCTTGTGCATATACGATCTTGGGATTCATTAACAAAGGAGGTCATGTTTTTGCCTGTTCATCATACTCTCCTGTCCATTATTATTGTATGTTCAAAATAGATTCAGTTGTCACTTCTCTTCATTATCGTCCCCGAGGCTGTCTTATCTGAGCGGGCGGCTTCCAATACTGAGTACAAGTCTGTTTTTTTGTGCTCAATATTCACACAGGCACATGTGTGGGCAGCTGAGAAAGAGCGGGTCCAGGCCCACGTTGTGTCCGTCGGAAGCGGAGTGTGTTGACCGTCCTCTGTGGCGGTGCTGCGGTGTGTAATCCACATATTTACACCTGTTGAACAGCATGGGACACATCTAGCGCAGTTTGTGTGCTCACGCTGGGGACACCGCCGACTCGCAGTGATGTCTGTAAACCGGTGTTTGAGTCTCTTTTCTCGGCTTCGACGCCACGTTGATCCCCGAGCTGTCCGTGTCGCCGCTGGTAGCAGTCATGTGTCTTCAGCGTCTGCTTTGTTGCATAGTGAACATCGGGCTTGTTCAGTGCTTTGCTGCAGAAGTGTGTCCAACAGTTCGTCTTCAAAGCCCCCGGACACTTCTTTGTTTGTCCCCGTCTCTCTGAAGCCTGACCCCTCGGGAGATGGAGGTGTGGGAGCAGAGCTGACCCAACCTCTCGAGAAAAGTGAGTAAATTCACCTGAGCTGGTCTGTGAGTAACAATGTCAGTGACCTGTGAGTCTCGACAGATAACACCTTTGTAGTTAAAGTATGTTGTTGCTGTCAAATGTTTTTTAATGTACTAAGGCTATCTGAGATGTCCAATGTTCACGTTTCTTTGATATCATTGCTCTCTTTTTAATTTTTTTTTTTTTTAACATCTATTTATTATTTTGACAGGTATCATGATACAATAATCATTGAGGACATTTTAAAAAAAAATTTGGTAGCATGACACATACACACACAGACACATGAATTACAATAACATAACCATACCAGGGGGCAAAAAGAAAAGACAAAAAAAACACAAAAAAAATAAAAATAAAAAAAAAAAAACACAAAAATAATATTTAAAAAAAAATAATGATAATAATAAAAAATGTATAATAGTAAAATAAAAAAACAACAATATAACAGTATCTATTCCTTCCTTCTTACGTTGTTATACAGAGCATAGATAAAGAATCAGCTGTCCTGTAGTGTCTTTAATTCTGTTATATAATTGAGCACAGGGCCCCAGACAGATACAAGTTTTTCACATGAACCTCTCTTTAATTAATGCAAACATGTGTGTTTTCTGAGACTTGTTTCTCTTTGCTGTTTGTGTGTGTGTTTCAGGTGAGCTGCTGAAGGTTCTGAACAGGTTTTATAGGAGGAAGGAGATGCAGAAGCTGGCAGCAGACGGTGGCCTGGATGGTGAGAAGTTATTAGCTCACATTAGTTCACAGATGTCAAAAACACTGTTTTCCAATTTTAGAGCCAAGGTCAACTTTCTTCGCCTTATCGGTCAGTCTTTTACTCAGTCACCAAAAAACCTCATTAATTGCTCTTTATTTATTGCTCTCTAATTGCAGATTACAGGGTTTTGAATTTCTGTCTAGTTTCGTAAAATGATATGCCTCAAGACTCATTTGACTAAGCTAATGAAAAACTGGTTGTCTGTTTATCGCTTAGGCTTGGGGGCTCACTCCACTGCTCCTATTTTCCACAGTTCAACGTGTCTTTGAGTAAGACACTGATTGGAGTATGCAGACAGTACCTTATTGTTACCTTTATAATGTGTTTCGTGAATGAACAAGACTGAAAACAACCTTACAAGCATGCTTTTATTTTAGGGGCTTTTTTTACGCCTTTATTTGAGAGACAGGACAGTGGATAGAGATGGAAATCAGGGAGAGTGGGGAATGACATGCGGCAAAGGCAACAGGTGGGATTCAAACTGATGCTGTCCACTTCGAGGACACTCGCATCTGTACATGGGGCGTGCTAAGAAACCACTAATCCGCTGGCGCCCCGTAACCAGCATGCTTTGTATGGTTAGCATTAAGTCTCTTTTTTTTATGTGTTCACAGCACGTCTCTTTCACCAGGCCTTCATTAGCTTCAGGAAGTACATCCTGGAATTGACATCTATCCCCGCTGACCTGCACATCATCCTCAGTGACATCTGCTATGGAGCAGGTTTGACCACTTTCAGTTATTCGATAGAATAATATATTAATCAATTTGAGCACACCTTTTTATTTAATTTAATTTCTATTGTACTTCAGGTCATATAGACGACATCTATCCTTACTTTATGCGTCATGCTAAGCAAATCTTCCCAATGCTGGACTGTATGGACGACCTGAGAAAGATCTCAGACCTCAGAGTCCCGGCTAACTGGTAAGGCCCATTTACTCTAAATGATGTTTAAACCTCTTTAAGTTGATTTACACCTGTACCTCTATAATATTTCAAGAATATTTGAAGAAGCATGAACAATATAACTATGTGGTTACAGTGTGTGTGATATTCTGTCAGGTACCCAGAGGCACGTGCCATCCAGAGGAAGATCATTTTCCATGCTGGTCCCACCAACAGTGGCAAAACCTACCATGCCATCCAGCGCTACCTGGCTGCGAAGACTGGAGTGTACTGTGGCCCCCTGAAGCTGCTGGCGCACGAGATCTTTGAGAAGAGCAACAATGCTGTATGTTTCTTTTTTCTCCTGTCCTCTGCTCTGTCTCAAGTAAAGTTTCACTTATCTGTTTCAAAGTAGTTCTACTGCATCAAGCTACTGTAGAAAAACAATTCATCAAACCAAAGGGGGAGATTTGTGAAGTCTTATAAATCAGCTCAGTCTGGGTAAAATGTAGGAATGTATGCTCCAGGTAAACGGAGGAAAAAAAATAGTTGTAATAAAAGAGATGTAAACTCTTGTTCTGCTGCATTGTTTTTCTCCCTTTTTAAAACGGTCTGCAAGGAGATTCTTATTGTTGGGGTTATCTATTTAAAGCATCTCTTCTCTTCTTCCTCCGCATATTGTACTATCTACTATTTCTGTGTCTGTATATTATTTGTGTGTATGCTCTTGCAGGATGTGCCGTGTGACTTAGTCACTGGAGAGGAAAGGACCTTCATTGACTTGGAGGGTCGAGCGTCTGGTCATGTGGCCTGTACCATTGAGATGTGCAATGTGACAACACCTTGTAAGAAAACACACTACAAAAAGATTTGTATATGATAACATAAATATACCTCAGCTGATCTGTTTTGATTCACATTGAACTTGCCTTTGAGTTTGATTCTATTTAGTTTAAAATCTCAAAGAATTCAAGGGGGCCGGGGGTAAAGGGACTAAAACGATCTACATCTTATTTAGGCCACAACATTTGATTGTGATCTGGATTTTCTTTATCGCCCATTGTTTCTAAATGTCCCTGTGGTTTGCCTTGAATAGCCTTCTATGAAATATCATCTGTGTGTCAATGTTTGATTTGTTTTCTTTAGATGAAGTGGCTGTAGTCGATGAAATTCAAATGATTAGAGATCCTTCCAGAGGCTGGGCCTGGACCAGAGCACTATTGGGTTTGTAACACACACACACACACACACACACACACATACACACACACAACCTCATGCACTGTGTCCTGGTCAAGACAGACAAAGACAAACAAAGTTTCTGATATAGAAATTCAAAATTTCAAATTAACATTTGTCTAGATTGCCCACAACCATGGAAATATAAGATTGTTAAGTTACAGGTCTTTTTATAATTCGTCCCTAGTTAAAGGAGCAGCAAACTTAAACGCCTTTTCTCCCAGTTCAGTTTTAAACTTTTTTTTACAGACCGAGGATTATAATTTCCTGTACTCTTCTGACTGATCAGAAGGTACAGAGGAAGCAGACCTGAAGTATCCTTGTAGATAAGAATCC